CCACACGATGATAACTTTTCTCAATAACAGAAGCAGAAATGGTGTCCACTCTGACGAATCATCTAAATGAACGTTTCTGCTGAGCGGTTTTCATTTTGTAGTGAAATGAACTGAGAACAGTGGATCCCTGGAAGGTAGGAGAAAGGAAAAACACACATTTGGCTAAAACACTACAGTGTGCTTCAGGAATGGTCAGCAGTCATACAGACAGTACATAGTTGCAGTTAATGGGCTGAGACGTGCATGAAACTATAAGCTCTTCCATAGGAGCCGGTGGAGTTTCAAATAAATACAGCGGCAGAAGAGCAGCCGATGGAATATTGGTCTTATAATTCTTAAAAGTGTGCAACCGAGGTTCACCGAGTTACGCTTCACATTCTGCATTATCTGCATTTTACAGTTTTAATGAGTCCAACGAGAGCTCATCACAACCTGCAGTTGATTTTCTTTACAGTAACCGTTTTAATCTGCGCCAGTTGGCATCGGTGACAGAAAGATTCTTTTTATTCTTCCGGGAGACGACTCGCCAAGAAAGCAGCTTCAGAACAGCTGTAGGCAGCAAACAGCAACACGCATACTAAGCAACAGTGCAGTTAAAAATCACAAAGACGAGGAAAAGTAGCTGCGTAAGCACCAAACAGTCATAATCCGATAGCAGATCATTAAGGTTGGTGATGAAGCCGAAGCAATAAACATAACCGACAATCTGCATTATAAAAAATACTAATACTCACTTATTTGCACTTATATCCGGCTTTTGTCTGCAATGGGAATTGATACAATCTGGATTTTCTCAAAGTGGCTCTGCAGTGGAACCAGGTTTTTATCAGCAGTGATGTAAACATGACACCAAGGTGAGCACGCTTATTTCTTCCTCTTTATTTTGGCAGCCTTGACACTGACGCTGCATTTTTTCTGTGCAACGTTTTGGCACACGTCAAACTTTCGGGCGTGGGAACTTAAATAACCATGAACATTTGCATACTTAATGTTTTTTAACATCTTGTGAACAACGTGCAACAGATGTTTTTTTCTTTGTGTCTTGCAAAATGCAACGCTGGCAAGACGAGAGAGTTTAAGAGTTTGCCGGTTTGTGACGCACGGCGGGACACAAAAAACAGAAAGGCAAGCTCCTATACAGGCAATGGGAACAGACTCAATCACCTTTACTTATAAACTGCGTACACCTGCTAATTTTAGTTTTATGTGCAGTAGATGTAAGACTGAGCTCATTCAGCTTTAATTTGCAGTGTTATGATTTCCGTGCTAAAGGAGCATCGTACCTGACTCTTCTCCTTCACTCAGTAGATTGTCAGTAACATCTCCGAGGCGAGAGGAACAGATGTCTCTATCTGACCGGCCTCTCTGGGCTGCTGGATTCCCACTCTCAATCCCCCTTTTTTTTTGTAGCCGACTGCAAATCTCTCTGCAGTGACAAAGCATCGCCTGTCGAGTGGATGATTCCATTGAGAGGCACTTCCTGATATGAGAGGTGCATTAATGTGATTAACCCACACTCGCTATTGCCGTTTGATACAGGGGCTTAGGGGCTCATGTCACTCTGTATTCTTCTGTATTGGCCTGATCAGCAGGTAATGGAAATGTGCGGGTGTGTGAGCGGAAGCAGGGGACTCTGAATGTGACCTGGAGGAGGCAACGAAATGTTATCGACGGCAGAATTCAGTGCTGCTCAAACTCACTTATTTAACCTCCAAAATCAAAAGGTAATCATGAACTAAATTAAACTCTGAAACTCAGTAGCTTAAAGACACATTCTGCACATTGTGTGTTTTCACAGCAACAATTCAGAACCATTATGATTAATGAAGATTAACTGGAACATTTCAATCCCAAATGATTTTCAGTGTTACAGTTAAATATAATTTTATCTCAACACACCTGCATCTGCTGAGAACTGTTTGATTTCATGACTTTATATATCAGGTTAGTGATTATACATCAAGTCTAACTACTAGTGTATTGGTTCTTTTAAACCTGTTTGTTTGATGCTTGTTGCAGCTTTTATTTCTGAAACTGGATAAGCGACCTGCAGGGACTCAGTCCACAGAACGCTGCCGCTGCACAAAGAGCTGTTCACCTGTTTACTCAAAGATCACCGAGGCTCGACTCAGTGCACAGAACTGCAGAAGTCGTCATGAACGTGATCAACAACATCACTTGCATCGATAGCCGCCACAATCACAGTGCGCTGGTTTGTATTAATATAGAATTACATTACCAAATCGCACCAGAATGAATACTGCACTTCTTTAGACCTGGAACGATGCACATGCAAAGTGTGAAGCTGATGAGATGAACGGTTCTCGAGATACTGACAGGCAGACAGAGATCTGGAATTATTAGTAGAAGACACAAATCGCTGTGGAAGCTGTGTGCATCAGTTTTGTAGCACATTTAATGTCGCTGATATTGGTCAAGAAAAATAAACACTGGATCCAGTGAAGTTATTAATTTGATGTCTGAGTCATTATCCATTCAGCTGCATATAAAAGACTACAGGCTGTATGTGTGTTTTGATTGCACCGAGAGTGAAGCTGCAAACATGCATCGAGCTGGTTTTAATATTGTGGCTGACTGTGGTGTATAATGGAGGCACAGTAGAAAACATCTGCGCAGGGGAAAGAATTCTGCGATGCCATTCATGAGGCTTTTCGACACACGTCTTTTCTGATCCTTACTTGGGGATACCAGCGAAAAATAGACTCCTGCACCGAGCACAGAGCTTTTAATAGAGGCATCTCCAGGCTTAATCAAAGGTACTGTGGGCACATCCACCTCACCGTACATTGTTAAGTCTTGGTGTGAGCTTAATGTGAACTTCATTTCAAAGCAGTGAGCACGCATGTACGTATGCCTGTGAGAGAGGCAGCCCCTGGAGAATATATGATGAAACTACAAAAAAGCAGGTGCAGCTCTGTGTGCAACTCACATTCCATTTTCGATCAATGACTGGGATAGATAATAGTCTCCATAGAGACTTGCATCTTGCATCCTGTCTCCCTCTCCATCCTCATATCCCCATCTCTGCCTTTTGCATCTGTGCACGCTCTGCAATCTCTTTTCTCCAAGCTCCGCCCCAACCGTCAGCAGCGTGGCACCAGCTCCGGAGGGCAAGACAGGCCGGGCACGAGAGGATCTTGGGAGGGGGCACAGGGGAGGGAACATCTGGAGGACTGAAAGAGAGCCAAGTCCACCTCTGCTGCCGCCCGCCGTCACGTCATCACAGCGTCCTGGGCTTCCTGGTAACAGCTGATCCTCTTGGCCCACCGCTTCCATCACAGTGGCGAAAATCCACTCACTAACTCAATTATGCAAGAGGTGTGAATTAAACATGAGGCAACCACACAGGAATGTATACACATGTCGCAGATGTGCGCCCAAGTGTGATACGTAATCATACAATATAACAACCCCATCTGTGCTGATGCCAGAGGGAGGGCGGCTTTGTAAGGCCTCCCTGCACACACAGTACATTGAAGAGCTGATCCGTGCTGGTTGCAACATTTCATCCGACTGATGAAGCAGCACATGGACATCCGGGCCGGACTGAGTGACAGCGGAGAAAAGGGTGATGAGGAATTTTGCCACCTATTATCTCCCTGTGAGCTTTAAAGAGCAAAAAAAAAACAGCGTCGCGTGGGAGTCGAGCCTGGAGCCAAAGTCAGGGCTGATGTTTTTCTCCCCATGCATCTCTCTCTCTCTCTCTCCCTCTGTTTCCCTGTCTCTCTCCTTCCTTCCCTCCCTCCCTCCCTCCCTCCCCCTGCCCTTTATTAATCATCCTTGGTTAGTGGGGCAGAGAGTGTGGTGTTAGGAGCTCTGGGGGATCATAGAGGCATGAAACACACACACACACACACACACACACACCTTTGTGTGTTTGGACCCTGATCGGCGCTGGAGTCAGAAGGCCAATCTTTTTTTGTTTGTTAATAAAAGAAAGAAAAAGAAATCTATCAAATATTGATTCGAAATGGAGGTAAACTAGCAGGAATGACCACACACACACACACACACACACACACACACACCATAAGTAAGCATGTGCACAAACACAGCTGATCTTCAGGGATCCTGGCCTGCAGTCCTAGGGCTCAGCTGCTGCTGCTGATGTAACCTTTTGAACAGTCTCAGTTGTTTTTTAGACATTCCAGCTCCAGCATACAAAGACATGAAGGTACAATCATCTCCAAAGCTCATAAACACACACAACTTTCACTCCAGTGCCACTAAAGCCCTCGGTGCCGCACAGGCAGCAGCAGCCTTGCCGAGCCATTACGGCTATTAGACCTCATTATCAGTTTCTGGAAGTTGCAGCCAGCATCCTCTTGAGAGCTGGATGCGGAATGATGGGACAAGGGGATGCAACACAGAGAAACCACTCTCGCAGGCTGTGGCCAATGGGCAGCAAGAGTAGCCTGAATAATGGAGGATGTAATTAGGCCTTATTTCTATGCATGTAAGTGCACTTAGCCTAGAAGGCTCCGACTGGGCTACAAGCCATTATTACTATTATCACTATTTGATCTCCATGTAAAAAAGTGGTGGGCGATTAGTTGTTATGGGACAGTTGGAGCGTGGCTGTGGAAGACTTGGGCGTCCTTTACTAATTGAAGTGCCAGGACACCTGAACTCCCTTTTTTTGAAATGATTCAATCAACATGCACCTCACAGGAAACAAGTACAACTAATGCAAGTTATAAAAAGAAATGAAAAATCTATGTTTACTAAAAGTCATCTTTATTTTCTGCAGATTAATTCTGCTGTTTCTAACTTAATTTGTCTTGTGATTAGAGACTTTGAGTCATAGATGGGAACCTGCACTAATGTGTGTGTGTGTGTGTGTGTGTGTGTGTGTGCAATCCTGAGAGTTTCTGTGTTGCCAGGATGCCACATATCAAAACCCTCATCTTACAAACACAGCTCAGGTGTCACAGAAACAGTAGCGTTGGGAACAGAGAAGCAGAGGGAGGTGGACGCACCTGGTTTGACCGTCTTCAGGCGAATCGGCTCCCGAAAGTGGCGGATGACAGCCAGGGTGTCTCGGTTTGTAAGTCCACTGACGGGTGTCCCGTTCACCTCCAGCAACACGTCCCCGTAGTAGGGCAGCTTCCCGACGTGGCACACCAGCACGTCCAGCTTCATCTGGCCCAGGTACGGGAACTGTCCCAGCTCCGCGCCCCCGAGAACCTCCACCACGGAGCCAAAGTCTCCGAGGTTCCCCCATGACACCGCGCACTCCACCACTTTACCGGACCAGTGTTTCTTCTTCTTCAGTGTCCTGGACATGGTTCCTTCCCTTTTGGCTCAACAACGAACGATCTTAGTGGGAACAGTCGCCTCCGTGTGCTGTGGTTAAATGAGCGCGGAGTGACGCGGCCTAATAAACCCTCCTGTGTTTCCCTCCCGACCTGCTGGGGATTTCATCTTCCTGGCGTTAATGAGGCTGCTTCTCACTCGTCAACACGCCGCCGAGGTCTGTCATCCCACGGGCTTGTGCTCCGGTGCGCACACAGTTGCCTCGGCTGCAGTAATTCCAAGCGCTGCCTGTGCGTAAAACACACCGCGGTGGTTTTAGAAAATGGACCAACAATCAAAGGTTCCGTGCGCTGGAACCATATCCGTGCATCTGGCTTCCGTCTCCCGACGCCAAGTAGCCAAAAACGGGATGTAAACAGAGTGTGCGTTAGACTAAGAGCTCTCCGTCGCTGGATTGCGGTGCATCAACGAGACATCCCTTCATACCTGTGGGCGGCGGCGAGCGTTCACCGGGAGGCGGTTCACGCAGCGGAGATCCAGCCCGTGGTGTGGTGATGACTGAGCGGAGAGACGTCCGCGACCGTCCGGCTGCCACAGGTTTGAACACACCTGGTACCCCCAACACAGAAGTCTCCAGGCTCCGGAACGCCCCCTTTACGCACAGAGGCAGCAGCGGCGCAACAGCGTCCTTCAGCCCCTCGTGCGAGCTCCATCCTCCGGTGTACCGTGGTACTTAATAAAATACAATCCAAACATACTGAATCATATACCTGATATTCACTGTGACATATTCTCAGCTCGGCTCCTGCGTAAAACTCCAACGTTTACACGCTTTTCTGACGTTTACAGAACTTCTCTTGCAAGTTAGACGGAACCAGAGCAGCATGCGAGTCTAACTAAAACCACACAGAGCATGTAATCCTGATATTAAGCGTGCACAACAAATTACACCTAATTAAAACTCTTAATTTGTAAAGTGATGTTAGTATTCTTCTTGGGGGACGAGGGTAGGGAGATCCAGGTGATGTCTCCACAGCGCCACCTACTGAAGTTACCAGAGCACTCCTCATCATTTGCTGCTCCGGTTCAACCCTCCCTCAGGTCTTCTACCTTCATCATGCTCCACTGCATCACTCCATGCATGATCAGACAAAGGTAGAATTGATTTCATCGTCAGTTATCATTATAGTGATAAACAGCTTTGTTTTCCAGTTGTATGCAGTTTTCCTTTATTCCAGTGCACAAGTGCAGCGTTCAAGGTCTGCTGCTGTGAATCTGACCTTTTCTTTAAGGCGCTCACACCTACACGCTCCATGGCCTGAGGGCTCAGACATAATGTGCACAGGTGACAAACTGCATGAGCTATAACAGGTCCTTTGTTTTTTATATTCGCTTCACGTTACTGTAACTTAATAGAAATGATGATGATGAAAACCTGAAGTGAAAGTTAATTACATTTTGTAAATGTCACTGTATCTCCAGGGATAACTCATCATGTCTCACAGTGTGTTATTAATGCCGCACAGCTTGATTTTGCCCAAAAAAAAACCCTCCTCAGTTCAGTTTGGTGGATTTGGATCATTTGGGCCACGTTGACTAATGTTGTCATGTGTCTGGTCTTTATTTCTACACGAGAGGAAAAAGAACATTCATCGTTCACATGAATCTGTTTCATATAACCAACATTTTTTAGGCACTTGAAGATCTTCACAACAGCACTAAGGCACATGTCTTACAAGGAATCATAAAAACAAACGGAACTGTTGAAGTTGTCGCATTGATTTAGAAATTTAAGATGTGTTGACTGAGTAACCATCCTGTCAAGTGTTGAATGATTTTCTTTGAAATAATCCAATATTTTATTGCTTTTAACTGTTCTTAGATTTAAAAGCTGAATTTGTTAAAGTTGTAGTGAGCATAGGATTCACACACTCTCCACATTCAAAGTCTGTAACGTTTATGATAAATCAAAGAGCTGTTTGTTGTTCCCATTTCTGGATTTGTCTTGATTTATCTTTTAGAGACGCCTGTTCAAAGTTTAGTGCCACATTCATTTTTAATAATCACTTATTCTGTGGAAGACCATTGATTGACTTGCACCTGAATTGAATTTAAAGTGACGCAGGGCCTTACATGAGGTGGAAGTACAGTTTGTGCCATTCTAGTTCAATGCTAAATACATTAATGAATCCTGGGGCGGCTGTGGCTCAGGAGGTAGAGCGAGTTGTCCACTAACCAGAAGGTCTGCGGTTTGATCCTCTAGTCCACACGTTGAAGTGTCCATGGGCAGGATAGTGAACCCCCAATTTGCCCCAGTGTGTGAATGACATCCGAGAGAAGAAGTGCTGTAAGTAAATGGACATTTTCTCCCTCGTCTGGTTGTCAGCTCCGCTCTGCACCTGCTTGGTAAGAGAGCCGTAACCACTACCCACAACTTGATCTTCAGTGGCTTCTCTGAACGACACGGGATAAATGGAAACAATCTTCCTGACAATTTCCCTAAGACGTTTTCTCCCTGGTGCAGGGCGGATGGGATCTACCCCTCTAACGACCGAATCAGTTCACATCCTGTTGGCTGCGCTTTGTTTTCCAGCTTCCATGTAATCTCTGACGGTGTTTTACTCCAGAGCGGCTCTCACAACTTAAGTGCCACTTGTTGTCCACTGGAGTGTGTTTATGACGAGTCAGGGGTGCACTTGAGTTGGAGGCAGACAGTGGAGGGTTGGACAGGCACAAAAAAGTCCAAAAATTGTGATTCAATACATGTTTGCCGTCACACTCGGCCATAACAACATATTATATTTCCATAAGATTATAGATAGAGATAGGTTTGTTTTTTAATGAATTACAGATGCAGCTCTTATCACGAGACTCAAAAACTTCTACTAAACCTGACAGAGCTCGTTCATCATGATGTGATTCATTAAACTGATTTATAGAATGAACTCATTTATATTTTCAAAATAAAAGCACATGCAGCTACAAAGATACATTATTTATACTGAAGGTGGGGAAGTCTACTTTTCTAGTGATGTGAGTTACTAAAAAGCAAAGACCCTGACCTCTGACAATACTTTCAATGGTTAGTATAGTTATCAATTTTGCAAACATAACTTGTTAACTTTAATTTAAACAAACTTGTAACACACACATTTTCTGTTTAAGTAATTTTTAAGTGTTTTTACTTTTGGAGGCTTCACCATTAGGTTGAAATCAAACGACGTGTCTGGACCTGCCGCTGCAACAGAGGCAGGAAAATTAGTTCCATTTCCTCACGTCAAGAGTGTTGATGGTCTAACAGTTTTTAAGGCTGATATTAGCCGGCTTTGTGTTGGCTTCATAAGACTAAATCCAGATTACAGCTGGCTTGGACTTGTAAATAGTTCCATGCTTTGCACAGAAATCATTTTGTGGTTTAGAGCCTTTTGTCTGGAGTCACATACAACCAAAATCAAATCCTGCAAGAACATTTTCTCTCATTTTTCTTTCTGCCCTCAGACGATCTGTAAGGTCAAACACCAACAGACACCAGAAACAATCACTACATTCATCCACTGACAGGAAACCGACTGTTGTGGCAAAACAATCCAACAGTTTTGACATTTTTCAACCAAGAAACATCAAACATTTGCTTGTTCCAGCTTCAGAAACTATTTTTACTGACAGGGAGACTAAACAAACATCTCAGTCTATATTGAAAAGAATCCTATTTCCACCTAAGACACATGTTGGGACAGACAATCAAGATTCAAACCAATTTATCAGAATTCATGTTTAATGTTGGAGTAATGGCTATGTAACAAAAAGTCTCTTTAGACATGCTTTACAGAATGTACAGGTAAATAAGGTTCAAAAATACGAAACAAAATGACAAACTTCAACAATACAAAAAAGCAGCATTGGATATTGCCAGAGCAGTTACTGCTAAACTTTGGTATAAAGTCATTAAGGACGTTTCAGAGAGTAAAACATTACAAATGCACATTGTGTTACGCTGGGTTGGCAGAAAATAATAAATACTGAATCGATGTATTACCCCCCCAGGACGTGTAACTCCATTATGGTCATTGCAAGTTTCTATTTTCATTTTTCAAGGGGCATGGAAATGACCAGAGGTATAAGCCAGAAAACAAAGAAACATCAGATATCTGCTTCTACAGAAACAAAGAGTGTGTTCAGTACAAAAGGAACTCAGGAAAGTCAGGAAAGATCATTCTTTTCTGGCATATGAAGAAAAAGGCATGGGATGATTGAGGCAAAGTGTCAAGTTAGCAAGAATGACATGAAATTCATGTCTGCACAAACCAGAGAGAAGCAGAAAGTGTGATGAAACCATCTGCTGCTTTACAAATACATGGAGTCAATTTTGAGTAGCTATTGATAGAGAACAAGAATCTAGTGCATTTAGGGCAGATCCAAATCCTCTTTTGCAAGTTTGATAGTTAAAAAAAGGGTTGTACTTAGTCTCTTTAGGCGGAACATGCAATAAACCCATCAGAGTACTATATCCCATTCCCTTTAGAAGCCAGGTGTGCTTGCACCTTGGCGGAAGACCAACACGCCTACATGTTCTCAGACGGGGGCATTTGCCATGAAAACAATCTGGGTGCTGGAAGATGAAAACGACAAACATGTCGGTCTGAAACTAAGACACGTCTGTGGCGCTGGGTGGCGCCCTGTGTCGGGAAGATAGAGCCGTCAGCGTACCATTTAATAGAGGCAGAAAATGAGAATGGCAAATCTCTCCTTGGTCAAAAATAGAAAAGAATGTAGCAGTCATGATCATCAACAAATGGAAATAATTATTTAAAAAAAAAAAAAAATACAGGTTGTCAGACATAACATCCATTTACTGCAGGACTGTTGGATTAAAGTGAATCATGTATATCTAGATGTACCTAATAAACTGCAAACTCTAAACTAAATGTACAAATGTAAAAGTACATACAGTGAAGTTTTCAAGGCCAGTCACAAACAAAGACAATCAGATCTGAGCTTCACCAGAGCTGCAATAGTAAAGAGGAGTTTTGAGGAGAACCAGAGATAAAACCTGTCGAAACACGTCCACATTCTTTTACGGTAAAGGCATTTTCTTTTTTCACATCCTCAAAGCAAAGGTTGACATTAGGAAAAGGTATTGCTAAATCTGAAGGCTGTTTGATAATTTAACTGGAAGAGCATCAGTTGAGAAAATAAAACCAACTTCAGAAGAAAATGTGTTATGACATTGAAAAACATCTGGATAGAAGAAAAGACTTTGTTATTACAGTTACTGCAGCTTACGTCTCAAACCTCTCTGCAAATGGACTAATAGGCCATGGAAGATAACTAGCCTTATGTACACATACATACATATATAAAATCATACAATACATTCTCATTTTTCACAGTCCCAAGTGAAAACTAAGGCTTAATCAATTTCTGAGAAAGGATCATGAAGTTTGTGAAAAATAATGGCGATGACAAATCCTCAGTTTAACACGGCTTACTAGCCTGACATTATCTCAACGATTTGCAATTTACAAATGGGTCTGGAACCTCTAGATACATTGAGTTGAATGTTTATGTTCACAAATGCATCTGGAGTAGTGTGGACGGCAGACGCATCACCTGCAGTTCTCAAACGGTCACGTATGGATGTAGCCTAAGTGCAGGTTTTTATTTGTTTTTGTTTTAGAGATGTCCAGTTCTGTTTATCACGGTCGTGATCATGGATATTAAGGACCTCTCCACATCGGCAGCAGGTCAGAGGATATCTGTCTGAGCAGACGGGGTTGTGAGGAAGACCCATTTGCAAGAGCAACGAACAGACGCTCGCCGATTGGTCTAGATT